ACGTAGGCATTATATCAGGGTTTCACAAATTGCCTATTGGCCTTTGGGGCAGTCAAAGTCACTTCTGGCCAAGAGCAGCCCTATACTTTTGCATCAATGTGTCATACAATTATAATTTCCTATGAATCAAGAAGGTGGAAAAAAGTTAGAAATCTATGGTATTGCTAGGACACAGTGTTGTGTAATCTTTTTTCGTTTGTCCAATTACTTTTTTTGTATACTTTTATTAATATTTAAATACAACCTAGACAAATGCAAAATAAATACTAAAACAAAAATAAGACGTGCTTGGTATCCTTGTTACATGATAAATTCGTTCGTCTCTAGAACCAGCAGATAGTGTTCGTCTTGTGTACTGTTGAACAGCATTCTTTCCTGTTTTGTTTTGTTTTGTTTTTAAAGCTTTGTGAATTGAGTGATCGTTTACATGGGACAACATTGGTTTTTGTGCACTCATCCTATCGTATCCTATCCCCTCCATGTATCATCATTTAACAGTATTTGCTTCTATTCTTTTTTTTTTTTAATGTACACAAAAACACTCAGGAATATATAATCATTTAAACAACCAAAGGGCACATTCTGTAAGCCTGCCTCCTGGCCGCCAGCACACAGCCTTTCTCTTTCCATGAGTCTAGAGTCCTCAGCTGCTCTATCTCTCCTTGTCTTCATCTCTGCCTCCATCTCTGGTGTTGCTGCTTCTCTGGTTAGGGTTCCATATTCCACGTATGCTCTTCTCCCTTAATGGTACTAGGGTCCTCTGTTCCTGGATCATAAGATTAACTACTCCCCGTTTTATATTACAAAACTTCTACCTTTACAGTTGTGACAATCACAATTCACCATAACAATTACTCACTATTGAATCATAAGAATTTTATCACCCATCTCCTTTCACAAAACCCATCTAGACAAGATGAAAACTATTCAGTGGGGATTCTACCTTACCCCACATGCTGTGAAACTAAACTCACTCTTGAAAATTTGTAAGTCAGCCACTTTATGTCTTTATAGCCACCCCACCCCCTCCCCATTTTAGACAACCAATGTCTAAGTTGCCGTCCCTGTCAACCCTGTGTACCGAGGGGCTAGGTTTGATCCTTGATGTGAAAACTTCTTCCCTCTTGGTTGCTATTTTGAGCTACTTCATTCGTAAGTATGGGTCAAATTCATCAAACTGTAGCTTGCTATGCAATGTTCTAGGGTCTTTCAACTCTGCTCTAGTATGGTTCATGTGACTTGCTTTAGCCAACGACATCAGAAAATACGACACATCAGCTAGAAAAATGCTTGTGCTTTGAGTGTGCGGTCTATCATTCTTCTCCCAGTCTGTTGCTTCATCTTTTTCTTCCCCATTGTCAATTAAACCAGGTCATAAAGAGATTTTGCATTTAACATGGTCATATTCAGCAATCTTTTCCCTTATATTTTTGTTTTCTGGGTTTTCAGATGCATTGCCAACCTTGAGATTAGAAACATTTTCTTCTAATAATTAAAGTAAAATATATCTGCATTTTATATTTTTCATTAGTGTTTCATAATATATCTTCATCTACTTGGGTACCTCTTATCTGAATTGTTTTTGCACATTATTTTATGTGAATTTTACAAAGGCTCACTTCTCATCAGTATACACGGGGGCTTCAAAAAAAAAAATTCTATTATCTTTAATCCCATTTTTCTACGAGCTTTTTTGAAGGCCCCTTGTATCTACTCTAAAACCAGACTGCTTGCCTTTGAGTTGATTGTTACTCAGCAACCCTATGAAACAGAACTGCCCCATTGGGTTTCCAAATGGCAAACTTTACATAAGCAGACTGCCCTTTCTCCACAGAACAGCTGTTGGGTTCAAACCACTAACCCTTAAGATAACAACTGAGAACTTAACCCTTCACCAGGGCTTCTGAGCTTAACCCTTCACCAGGGCTTCTGATGTAGTGGTTACGAATCGGGCTGCAAACCTTAATGTCAGCAGTTTGAAACTACCAGCTGTTCCGCTGGAGAAAGATGAGGCTTTCTACTCCCGTAAAGATTTACAGCCTCCGAAACCCTGTACAGTCGCTATGAGTCGGAACTGACTCCACAGCACATCATAACCATGACCAACCCCCATTAGTTCTAAATGGGCTCAACCATTATTACATGCTAAGTAAGTCATGTTTACTACTAAGAAGTAAATAAACCATTCTTCCAGTAGTCAGCAATGACTAGTACAATACTGTTGTTAAGTCTATCAAGTTGCTTCTGACTTTCTAACTCATAGCAACTCTGTATAGAATTTCCAAGGAGCAGCTGGTGGGTTTGAACCACTGGCCTTGCAGTTAGTAGTCCAGGACTCCCATACAACACTAATCTTTCTGTATATTAGTTGCCATGCATAAACTTACTATTTGTTCTTATCTCTAGAAATCACTAAGCATTAGAAATCTCTGCACAATGATTTAACTTAAAATTGTTAATTATTTCTGAACATATTTAACATTGTAGTGGTTACAAGTCGGGCTGCCGACCTCACGGTCAACAGTTTGAAACTACCAGCTGTTCCGTGGGAGAAAGATGAGGCGTTCTGCTCCCATAAAGATTTACAGCCTTGGAACCCTGTGCAGGGTCACTATGAGTCAGACCCGACTCCGGGTACTTGACAGCAACAACCACCACCATTATCTTGAAGTGTTCTTAGCCAATTGCTGATCATTTCAACTGATACCTCTTTTGCATACCTGTTGCAGCTTTCTCCAAGTTCCATCACTGAACACATGTTTGTAGCAATGGAACCAATGGCTCCAACTACCCTTTTGGTATTCCCCAAAGAGAAATTTTACCTTAAAATCAGTAGAAAGTAAATTCACACAATACAAATTTTTATCAGCTGACTGTGTTAATGGTCTTTTGTTTCAAGATGTTTCTTTTACAATGACACTAAACACTTCTGGAAATGTCAGATTTTTGGTACAACCAAGTCTCTTTATTTCTATGTTCATCACTACATGATTCTCAATGTTTCGCCTTATCTCCTTTCCGTAATGGACTACTTTCGATGGTCACCTCCAGGGTTCAGAGTCATCTTTTCAGGCTTATTCTCCAGCATATAGTTACTTCTCTTGAGGAAACTGCATTCTGATATAGGGTTTAGAACATACATATAACTCCCATCTTTTTCCTCTGACTCAAACTTATTTTTCCTTCTTTTCCTAAATTTAACTCAACCAAATATTTCCCTGATAGGAGACACAGATATGTTAGGAATAAATATTTTCTTCTCTCTCTTTTCTGTATTTTCTGCCTCTTAAATTAAGTCTTAACTACCTTGTTCAAATACAAATTTCAACTTGTGGTTTCTATCTACTGAAAATTATGTGAAAAGTAAAATATTTTCTAAGTAAATGCAAACCAAAAGAAATCTGGAGAGGTAATATAAAGTAGGAGAGGCTAACATTCATGGCAAAAATACTTACTGTATGAGGAGGATTATTTTGCTCAAACTAGAATCCCTTTGTTGTGGTAGATCACCATGCTCACAGTCCTCATGCTCCCCTCCCACACTGACTTTACATTTAGCCATGTGATTTGCTTGGTCCAATGAGTCATTAGCAAATAAGTTGGAACTAAAGGCTTGTAGCACTTACTGATGACAATCAAAGAATACAGTCTTCACTATGGCTTTACTGTTGTTCAGTACCGTCAAGTCGGATCTGACTCATGGTATGACCCTGTATAAGGGTTTCTGGCCTGGCAGTTCAAATTAACCTTGCAGTCTAGTGCTTATCCTACAGTGTTACACTAGGACTCCTCAGTATGCTTTATATCTTAATAAATGCGTTGAAATGCGAAGAAAACAAAAATCCTCAAAACTGGAACAATAAACACCATGATAAACAGAGGAAGGACTGATTTTGTCAAGGATTTCATTTTACTTGCATGCACAATCAATACCCACTGAAGCAGCAATAAAAAAAATCAAATGACTTACTGCATTGTAAAAGATCTCTTTAAAGTGGTAAAGAGCAAAGATGCCACTTTTGAACAGCAATGTGTGCCTCCTGACCCAAGATATGGTACCTTCAACTGACCCATACGCATGCTAAAGCTGGACAAGGTGGTGTTGGCAAAGAAGATTGACCATAAAATGGAGTACCAGAAGACAGAACAAATCTGTCTTAGAATGCTCCTTAGAAGTGAGGCTGGCAAAACTTCACCTGGCATTCTTTGCAGGTTACCAGTTCCTTGAAAAAGACATCATACTTGGTAAAGTAGACAGGCAGAGAAGAAGAGGAAGCTACTCAGCGGTGGACTGACACTGTGACTGAAACGGCACCAAGCACAGTGCGGGCGCAGACAGTGTTTCGTTCTGTTGCACATAGGGTAGTTAAGAATCAGTGCCAATGGCACCTGACAACACCAGAGGCTTAGAACATTCTTGTGCATTAGGGCTTGGCCTCTTGGCATGCTGCTCCATCTTGGAAAGAACCCCAGCATTGAAAACTGGAAGAGACAAGCTGTCATCCAAGCAGAATTGTTCAGTCAATTCATTAAATTGCGAGAAATAATAAAAAACTATTGATTTAAGCCACTGAATTTCAGGGTGATTTGTTATGCAATTACAAATAGCTATTCTTTGTGAAAGTTTAGCATCTTTTCATCTGTGCTTGGTAGAGCAAGTGGAGAAAAATTAAGTATAGCCATTATTAATCTGAAAATCAATTAAGACCTCTGAGCAAACTTTATGACTATTAGAACTGTTGAACTTCTATTCTCCCCTTTATTTCACTATTCAATTCATTTAAGTAAGTATTTGTAAGACTTTAAAAACATGTTAACAGTAAGGTGACTAACCATACCCAGAGTAATCACTTCATAAGCCAACTAAAGGAAACAAAGTTATAATGGTTAATTGGCACAGTAGCTTTTTTCTTGCCTTGGAATGGTCTTATCTTTTAATTAGTCTTCATTTTAACTGTAATCCTATACACTTTATGTAGTACTATATCAATGAAGAGTATACAATAAATATTTTTATTTTTCAAATAATGACTTACATATGTTTCATATAAAAGATGAATTTTTAGTTTTCTAAAAAATAATTATAGTTGCTAATATTATCTTTACATTTTTACAGAAGCCAATTTTATCTTCATTCCACAGTGTACTACAGCTTTTACAGATTCATAATCTTTTGAATAGATTTCCAATGTCCTTTAAAAAATAAAAAAAAAAATTATACAAGACATTTTCATTTAATACATGGAAACTAAAAAGATTTCAGTGTAAATGGCCAACCCTCTAGCTACTATTGAATACATTTTCAGTACAGAGAAGTCAACATGGTGGAATAATTAGTTCTCTGTATTTATCTTTATTAAAAAGAGGTTTTTGGTGGTGAGAACAAATAATCTCTCGTTTGTTGCTTGAAAGCCTAAAATAGGATCATTGGTTTCTAGGCTTGCCACTTGCTGCTTAGCAACCTGCCCTACTTGCCTGCCTTCCTTTCTGTTGTAAAGTACAGTGGTCATGGGAGTGGGCTGACGATAGATGAATACTCGACGGAGGCACTCGCAAAGAGCTGCATAGGAGTAATTTGGAGCACAGGCAAAAAACTTTTTGTCTCTCTTTGATGCTTGGACATAGCCTGCCAAAAAACATAAAACAATGAGAAAATAAAAATGTGTATCATACAGAAAGAGAAAAATACTAAGTTAACATTGAACATTCCCTAATTTTGATTACATATTAAAATGTCTGACTCAAACAAATGCCATAAATACACAACGGTTGTGTTCTGAACTATTAAATTAGCCACAAACAATCTCTCCTACCTGGTGCAAAAATATGACTTCAATTCTTAAAGAAAAAAAAAAGAGGGGGCTTTGCTCTCCCCAAGAAAAGCACAGTTTCAGTCCATTTAATTTCTACCAACAATTAACACACTAAAACATTTAAGGGGAAATGCTAAAGACATGCCAGAATATCTTTAAATGTCAATTCAATATTTAGGCTCCTGAATCCTAGATATGCTATTACAGAATCTTTTTTCTGTCTTTCTCTTATCAAATGAATGGGAAAATGTTTGTAAATACTTTTAATCAAGTTATTTTAGGAATGTGTTTACAACACAGGCCTCATCCTTTTGAGGATACTAATATTCACAGTGCATCCTTCTGCTATCCCTGTAGAGTAGGCAGTATTGTCATACACCAACACCAACATTACTACAGGATTTTGAAGATACTAATGTTCACAGTGCATCCTTCTGCTATCCCTATAGAGTAGGCAGTATTGTCATACACCAACACCAACATTACTACAGGATTTTCTTGTACAGTCCCTAGAAGTACAACTCTGAGACTACTACAAACTCAAAAGAAAACTCAAGCATCTAATTTTAAAAACTGGACTAGAACATTCCATGAAAATTAATTGTTATTGTTATTAAGTGTCATCAAGTCAGTTCCAACTCTAGCGACCCTGTATAGGATTTCGAAGGAGTAGCTGGTAGGTTTGAATGGCTGACCCTGTGATTTGAAGTCCAGTGCGGATCCTACAGCACTACACCAGGAGTCCACGAAAATGAATTTAACTTTGAAAATTACTCTAATCTCATCTTTTGATTTAGGTACTTGTTTTAAAAGTATCTTCAGCGTGCTGTTGTTAAAGTGCTGTCTAGTCGATTCCAACTCATAGCAACCCTGTATAGGGTTTCCAAGTAGGGGTTGGTGGATTTGAACTGCCGACCCCTATGGTCCATTGCTTATCCTACAGTACAACACCATGACTCCAACGTATACTGAGATCTCACCAAACAATGAAGATGCAAAGGAACCAGAGCATAAGCAGACTGATACTAGTTATTTACTGTTAAGCAAAGCTTGAGGAGGGACAAGTTAACTGGATATAGATACCTGTTTAAGTAGTTTAAAAATAATTCTAGGAAATACTTGAAAAAATTAAAATGTTCATAATATTTTGGGATTACATATCTAAAGTAATGCTGACTGAATTTAAATTAAAGTGTAGTAAATTCCTCCTAAAGAGGAATTGGGGGATATAAATGGAGGGTCTGAGTATACAACAATTTTATCGTCCAGCTTTCTTTTTAATAAAGAAAGAGGAAAAAAACTGAAAATCAGAAATTGCTATCAAGAGGCTAGAAATTATATGGTTAAATTCATCAATCAAACTTTGTATCTCTGGTCATAAAAACCCATTTGGATTCTGAATTCACCAGTTTAACAACCTTTATTATTCAACTCTAAGGGCTAATTAACAAAAATAACCTTCAGTTAAAGTTTTGAATATATAGTCATTAAAATGCATAATTTTACTTCCTGCTGCTGGTTTAAATAACCTTTCTGGAATGTAAATAGCTGTGGCTAATTCATATAAAATAACTTCTCCCAAACTACACTAGTGTATTTTAACATAAAATCAATTATTATATAAGTCTACAATTAGGTAGTTCAAAATATTTTCAAGCCCTAATTTTAACTCTGGTATGTTCCCTTTTATCTTACAGAATAAATTTAATTTCTGCTTACTGCCCCTTTTCACTAAGTGCTTCATTATAATAGCTCTCTACACTAAAGTCTAGGAAAGATGCTCCCTAATGTGCAATGCCTTGGAGCATCTCTAGGATGCTTTGGCCATTACTCTGAAGAAACCTCAATACAAGTTCCACTCAGGGTATTGTCAAGCCCCTTACCCATACCTAACACTGTATAGCGAAATTGGTGAATAAAATGAGTCACATAGTTATATAAACACTTTAATTTCTATTCTGAGTTGATTTCTACAAGCACAGACACAGATGAGTGTGAGTATTCCAACAGTGCAATATTTATCTACCATAGTGGCTGTTGTTAAGTACTGTCGGGTCGATTCCGACTCATAGTGACCTTATATAGTGACAGAGTGGCTGGTGAGTTTGAACCACTGACCTTATGGATCAAACCAACCTTGTGATCCAGTGCTTTATCCCACAGTGCCACACCAGGACTCTAATACAAGTATCAAACTGTAGCACAAATCAATCCTAATGTAATTAGGACAGCTCAAATTTAAGAAAAAAAAAAAGAAATGAATTTTAAAAAGAAGATGATAGCCATTTGTTAAGTAATAGAAAATGCCATCAGACAGCTTGCTTTGTACCTAGAGCATTGAAAGTTGCTATGTGCTCCCACATATCATCTTGTTTGCTAGCGTGTGGTTGCCAGAGAAGGGCATCAACATCATGCCGTAAACAGAAACAGGGCATTTCTTTAGGATCCACTACGACAGAAAAAAGGTACTGATTACTTCCAAGATTCACCTAAAATAAATAAAAAAATAATTAGTTACTTATTCAACAAGAAATTAATAACAACAACTGACACATTACTATGTTCCAGACACTATTCTAAACTCTTTACATACCTATACCTCATCTGATTAAGGAGCTCTGGTAGCGTAGTGGTTACGAATCGGGCTGCGAACCTTAAGGTCAGCGGTTCGAAAACTACCAGCTGCTCCGTGGGAGAAAGATGAGGCGTTCTACTCCCGTAAAGATTTACACCCTCGGAAACCCTATACAGGGTCGCTATGGGTCGGAACCGACTCGATGGCACATAACAACAACAACAACCTCATCTGATTAATACATAGCTGTTGCTATGTCCACTTTCCAAATGAGGAAACTGCTGTCTACAGCATTAACAGAAGCTGCCCAATTTCCACCTGGCAATGAATGGTAGAGCTGTGATTTGAAGGCACTGCTCCAGTGCCTTTCAGATATTAGTTTCTAGTCTAAAATATAATACTGAAAGCACCATTTTATAAACAGATTGTTTCAAACCAGAGGATACATTTATAAAGCTTATTAATGTTGACTTGTACTAATAATTATCAAGAACAGTAACAGCTATTACAATTTATAAGTATAATACTATGCCAAATATGTTATATATATCAATCTTAACAACAGTAGGACATTATTATCTTTTTTAATGGATGAAAAAGTAAACTTGGAGAGTTGAATAAATTTGTTGTAGATTGAGCAGTTAGAAAAATCAGTGCTAAGATTCAAATCTAGATTTGTCTACCAATTATTTGTCACATTGGTAAACTGTTTAAATACCTGTCAATAATGTTTATGCCAATTGTTATTAAAATGTTATTGTTAATAGTGATGGCTAAAAAATTCACTTTAATATAGAATCACTAAATTGTGACTCATAGCTGGATTCCATCTGTAATACCCACTTAATGGAAATAAGTTGCAATGATACTCTTTATTAGAAATACAATCAGAGCTAAAAATGCCAACTGACCGGGACAGATGTGCCAGCACAGCTCCTGATCATGGAAAAAACCAGGACAGAGGAACCCAGTCTCTACTATGGCAGCAATATCTAGAGTGTAGACTAGTCCCTTACTTAGGACTTCTGGTGTGGGGCTGTAGGATCAGCACTGGACTGCGAACAAAAAGGTCAGCAGTTCAAACCTACTAGCTGCTCCTCAAAAACCCTATATAGGATTGCTATGAGTTGGAACCAACTCAACTGCACTTAACAACAACAGCAAATCCTTACTTGATCTCTTTAAGAGGAATGGGAACAGGTAAGCCACACAGACATCACAAACTATTGCTGTTCTTCTCTTTCCCCTGATAAACAATTTTAGAGTCACAACTAGCTATTTGGCCTTTATTATGAGCTTGAGGGACTCAAACTTGCTTCATGCCTCTTCCCTGTAAATCCACACCAATATATTTATTTCTGTACCAAGGACTCTCAAACAAAACCCTGGTATACAAATACAAACTGAAATACTATGTACATAAAAATTAATTTATTCATTCTAAGAAAGCCAAGTGTACTTGCATGGACAGCAGTGAGTAAAGATTCAAGTGAGATGCTACCAAGGGAAATGAGCAACTAAAATGAGAGTCCCCTATTATAACTCCTTTCTCCAATTTAGATGTTCCTTCTCTTTACACTGTACAGTCTTGGCCACTTGCATGAGTGTTGATTGTGGATCCAAGCAAAATGAAGTCTTTGACAACTTCAATCTTTTCTCCATTTCACATGATATTATTTACTGATCCAGTTACGAGGATTTTTGCTTTCTTTACATTGAGTTACATCCCATATGAAGGTTATCATCTTTTATCTTCATCAGTAAGTATTTTCAGTACTGTTCGCTTTCAGAAAGCAAGTTTGTATCTTCTACATATAGCAGGTTCTTAATGTTATCATCCTCCAATCTAGCTTCCAAAACGATGCATGATGAAAGAATTCAACCCAGGCATACGCCCTTCCTGATTTTACATTATTCAGTACCCCCTTGTTCTATTCTAATCCTCATCATATTCCTTGTATTGTCATATTTATTATATAAATGATTGGGGAGCACGATGGCTCTGTAGGATAAGCACTGGATTTCAAATCACAAGGTCAGTGGCTCAAACTGCTCCACAAGAAAAAAGATGAAACTTTCTGCTTCTGTAAAGATTTACACCCTTGGAAACCCTATACAGGGTGGTTATGAGTCGGAACTAATGCAATGACAATTAACAACAATTCTAGAAGGAATTATATTTATCTTTTTTTAAAGTATCAGCAAAGAGTACAACTAAGGTAAAATATTCTTTAGAGAAAAACTTGAAATGTAAATTACAAATAGTGAATGGTCTTTTCTTTTTGAAATTTTGGCAATTAATGACTTATGAAGATTAAATGTCAAAGTAAAGACATTTAAACACTTTACTTACTACAATTATCAAATTAAATTGAGAACATTAAACACAGTTTTTATCTATTCAAATGTACAGTGCATGTAGGTAGGCCAAGTTGAAAAGTTAATGATAAGGAACTTTCATTCCAAATTAATATCCTATACATAGAATTAATTGCTAGAATGATTTGCTCTGTATTTACTATGCTATGCATAAAGTATTGAGGTAATCTATTCATTTTCATCATCAGAGCAGAAGAAATATGAATTTAATTTTAAAGAAAAGGAAACTAAAATTCAAGAGGTTAAGGAATTTAAGTGAAGAAGCTATTAAGTGTTGCTGCTGTTGTATCTTACATGCCGTCAAATCGGTTCCGACTCATAGTGACCCTTAAAGACTTTCCAAGGAGCAACTGGTGAGTTTGAACTGCCGACCTTGTAGTTCAAACCGACCTTGTGATCCAGTGCTTTACCCCACAGTGAGCCATGTACTTGTGAGTCACAGTAAAGTGAGGTGGGAGGTATCTCATCAGGTGATGACTGCAGAGCCAGACCTGGACTAGCGGGAACTCACCTGGCTGTCCTCTGCTGTGGAAAGATCTTGATCCCAGCTGCTTTGGACTCTACAAGAAGTACTTCCAGACAGTTGTTGTTGTCAAGTGCCACTGAGTCAGTTTCAACTTATACAGACTTTGTATAAGGTTTCTAAGGAGCAGCTGGTGGTATAGGATAAAGCACTGGACTGAAAGGTCAGGTTGAACTTCCAGACTGAGTGCCCACAAAAAACAACACCTAGACCTATCAGGTAGTCCTGGTGTGGTGCTGCAGGATAATGCAGCTGACTGTAAGGTCAGTTTGAACTACAAGGTCGACAATTCAAACCCACTAGCTGCTAACTGAGAAACCCTAGACAGGATTGCTATAAGTCTGAACTGACTCGACGGCACTAATCAACAACAGGACAATCAGAACTCCATCTAGGTCCAAAGCATCACTGTCTCATTCCCTGCCCACCCATCAAGTAAGCTCTGTGGCTGGCAGAAGTCCCCAGAATTTGCATATCTCTGAGTCTGGCACCTACCCTGATTTTTCCTTTTATTGTTTTTATTTATTTTTCTTCCTCTCTTTACCTTCTTTTCGAACAACTGTCTCTTGGTTTATGTACAGGTTCCTCATGAACACAATTAAGTGTTCTGAAATACTCAACTCCACAGTGTTGTCCATAGCTTCTCATCACCCTCACATTTGAAAGCCCCTGTGCAATGAATAAAGCACAGGTAAACATCTTTCTGGTACTCTCTGTTTTTAGCCAAGATCCTTCTGATGTCAGCAATGATAACCCTCGTTCCTTGAGCTTTTCTGAATCTGGCTCAAACCTCTGGAAATTCTCTGTCAATGTATGGTTGTGGACATTTTTTAATGATCTGAAGCAAAATTTTACTTGTATGTGATTATTAATGATATTGTCCAATGATTTTCACATTCCGCTAGGTCACCTATCTTTGGATCGGGCACAAATATGGATCTCTTCCAATCAGTTGTCCAAGTAGTTGTCCTCCAAATTTTTTGGCATAGATCAGAGAGGGCCTCCAGTGCTGCATCAGTTTGTTGAATGATTTCAGTTTGTATTCCATCAATTCCCGGAGTCTTGTTCTTTGTCAATGCCTTCCATGCATCTTGGATTCTTCCATCAGTATCACTGGCTCTTGATCATACGCTATCTCTTGAAATGACTGTGTACCAGCCAAATCTTTTTCATACAATGACTGTGTACATTCCTTCCATCTTCTCTTTTTCTTCCATCTTCTTTTACTGCTTTCTGCATCATTCAATAATTTGTCCATAGACTCCATCAATATCAGAAGTCGAGGCTTCAATTTTTTCTTCAGTTCCCTTGGCTTGAGAAACGGTGAGCGTTGTTTTTCCTGTTTGGTTTTGTAACTCCAGGTCTTTGCACATTTCATTATATTTGACTTTGTCTTCCTAAGCTGCCTTTTAAAGTTTTTTTTTTTAGCTCTTTTACCTCCTCATTTCTTCTACTTATTTTAGCATCTCTATGCTGGAAGGCAAGTTTCAGAGTCTCTTCTGACATTCATTTTCCTTCTTTCTTGTCTTCATAATGACCTTTTGCTTTCTTCTTATTCAAAGTTCTTGATGCTATCCCACAACTCTTCTGACCTTTGGTCATTAGTGTCTAATGCATCAAATCTGTTCTTCTGATGATCTCTAAATTCAGGTTGGATATTTTGGCTCTCATGGATTTGTTTTCATTTTCTTCAGCTTTGGCCCTGAACTTGCATATGAACAACTGATCGTCTGTTCCACAGTCTGCTCCTGGCCTTGTTTTGGCTGATGATATGGAAGCTTTTCTACCATCCCTTTCCACAGATATAGTCAATTTGATTTTTGTATATTCCATCTGGTGTGAGGCCCATATATATAGTCATCTTTTATGCTGTTTAAAAAGGTATTTGCAATGAAGTCGTCATTGGTCTTGCAAAATTCTATCATGTAATCGCCAACATCATTTCTGTCACCAACACTATAATTTCCAACTAGTGATCCATCTTCTTTGTTTCCAACCTTTGCATTCTAATTAGCAGTAATTATCAGTACATTTTGATTGCATGTTTGATCAATTTCAGACTGAAGAAGTTGGTAGAATTCTTCAATTTCATCATCATTGGCTCTAGAGGTTGTTGCGTAAATTAAAACCATAGTAGTATTAATTGGTCTTCCTTGTTGGTGCATGGATATTATCCTAGCACAGGCAGCAGTGTAGCTCAAGACAGATCTTGAGATACTCGTTTTGATAATGAATGTGATGCCATTCCTCTTCAATTTGTCATTCCTGGCATAGTAAACCATGTGACTGACAGATTCAAAATGGTCAATATCAGTCCACTTCAGCTCATTAATGTCTAGGACATCAATTTTTATGTGTTACCGTTTTTGTTTTTGTTTTTTTTGACAATTTTCCAATATTCATAATTCATACATTCCATGTTTGATGATTAATGGATGTTTGCTTATAGCTGTTTCTCTTCATTTTGAGTTTGCCCATCAGCAAATGAAAGTCCAACAGCTTTATTCCATTTGCATCATCAAGGCCAATTGTACTTTATGATGGCAGCTCTTACCCATTCATATTTTGAGTACCTTATTACCTGAGGGGCTCATCTTCTGGCACTACATCTGACAATATTCTGGTGCTCTTCATCATCATGTTTCAATATTCTGGTGCTGACAGTGTTCCACTGCTGTCCATAGGTTTTCAAGAATATTTCATAAATATTCAAGAAGTACTCTATCTCTCCTTCTTCTTAGTCTGTCTTCATCTATAAGCTCAGGTAAAACCTATCCACTATGGGTGGCTCTGCTTCCAGAGCCACAGCTTAAGCTAAGCCATGGTATAGCTTCCAGAATCACAGCAACATGCAAGACAAACTGACAGACGAGTGGTGGCAAAGTTAGAAATCAACCATAGGAAGATCAAGGGGGGAAAAAAATCAAACACATGGAAACTGAATAACACCCTGCTTTAAAGCTACTGGGTAAACAGAAAAAAATTTAAATTAAATGAAAAGATTCCTTGAAGCAAAGAGGAGTAAATACACAACATATCTAAACCTTTGATACAGCAAAAGCAATCTTTATAGGGCAATGTATGCCAATAAACAATCACATTAAGACATAAAAATGAATAAACTCTCACAAAAGATGAAATAATATGTGAAACAGTCAACAGCTAAAAAAATATTAAAACAAGATCCTATATCATGTATGCCAATTAATATAGATATCAAACCAAGAGTCATCTGTACTGACTCATAAATTTCACTTCTTTTACACTTTATAAGATAAATAACCCTGAATATACACAAGGCTTCACATAACAAAGGCATTTTCTAAAAATATCGTCATGAATTAAATAATTTTTAAAAAGTTGCTAAAAATGTATAATGTAATCTCTGAAATAGCCGTTACAGAAACATATTCACATACATACACAAACACAGCAATAACATCATAGTATTATCAAACCATTAAAACAGAGATTTGAATAGCAAGAAAAAATGCTTATGTCTTAATCTTGAATGAAAAAAGCAGATTTTAAATTGTATAAATTGTAGGATTACAACTGTATACAAAAAGAAACCTGCACAAAACAAGCCAAGTGCCAGGAGCGGAGGTCCCTGGAACCATCAAGGGAGAAGAGCGGTTTGCGGACCCTACCCAGAGAAGCAGTGGTGCCAGAGATGGAGGCAGAGATGATGACGTGGAGAGATGGAGCAGCTGGGGACTTTAGACTCAGAGAGGGAGAGGGGCTGTGTGCTGACAACCAGGGGCAGGCTTGCAGGGTATACCCTTTGTTTGGTTGATGATGCATGGAGGGGATTGTAACCATGGCAATGAAAGGATATATGATAGGATGAATGTAAAGCTAAGTGTTCTACCATGTAAACTATCACATAATTCACAATAAAACATTAAAAAAAAAAAAAAAAGCCAAGTGAAAACTATCAATATGTAGTAGTAACAATTCAATATTGTTGTTGTTGTTACATGCCGTGGAGTCGGTTCCTACTCATAGCGACCCTGTACAGGGTTTCTGAGGCTGAGGCTGTAGATCTTTATGGGAGCAGAACGCCTCATCTTTCTCCCGAGGAACAGCTGGTAGTTTTGAACTTCTGAACCTTGCGGTTCGCAGCCCGATTCGTAACCACTTTATTTTTGTTTTACTGGAGGAGGGGTAAGGGAAATATGCTACTTTATTGAATTCAAAAGAAAACAAAAACAAAAACATTTAAACAAAACAAAACTCATTGTTGCTGAGTTGATTACAACTCATGGAGACCCCACATGCTATAAAGTAGCTCCACAGAGTTTTCTTTATTGTCTTTATAGAAGCAGATTGCCACACCTGCCTTCCATGGCATCACTGAGTGGGTTCAGATGGCTAACCTTTAGGTTAGAAGACAAGTACTAATTGTGCCACCCAGGGACCTTGCAAGAGTAAAATAATTGTAAAACAAGCTATCACACCACAATCTAAGGCATCACTGGAAAACATTTATTTGGTTATTTAGTTATTTCATATGAGAAACTTCAATTAATTAAAAAAAATTATTTAGAAATAATATTGCCAAGAACTTACCACATGAGTCGTTTTTAATGTGCTACCATCAAATCTGCATAAACTGGAACTCTCTTCAAAGAAAATATCACATTCTTCTAACTCTTGAGCATTACAGGGAGGTTTTTCTTTGTCCGGATTTGGATTCTTAAACCAGAAAGTAAATAAATAATGATAAAGAAATGTATTTATAAACATTTACAAATAAAGAGATTAAAGCAATAATTAAAAACTAACTTCACACCAATAACCAATAAAAACATAATCAAATACAGAACAGAAATGAGAGAATAATGGAATTAGTTAAAAAAAAAAAAAAGGACATCAAAATAGCTATTGTGAATGTGTTCCAAAGTCCTGGACTGCTACCAAAAGATCAGCAGTTCAAATGTACCAGTCACTCCTCCGAAACACTATAGAGTTACTATGAGTCAGAAACGATTTGATGGCACTTAACAACATGATCAAAGATTCAAAATAAATCATAACAAGATGGAAAACATACATTAAAAAAACTAAATTTCTAAATATGAAATAAAATATCTGAAATGACAAAAACATCGTATTGGCAGCTAACTAAACAATGCAATAGAGACTAACCAAACTTAGTCTCTAAAACTTGAAAGCAAAAACCAAACAAACATCAGCTACTTGTAGGACAATACTAAGTAGTCTAACATGTGGATAATTGGGAGAGAACAGAAAAAATTTTCAAGAGATACTGGCTGAAAAAATGTCAAATTTGATGAAAACTTTAATTCTATACACCCTAAAAGTCCAAAGAATCTCAAGCAAAAACGGTTTTAAAATCATAATAGAAATGATGTATTATTTAAAGGTAGATAGTGAGGTTGGCCCAGGATCAGGCAGTGTTTCGTGCTGTGCATAAGTCACTATAAGATGGAGACAGCCTAAGTGCCATAAGTTGAAGAATGGATAAACAAACTGCAGTACATACACACAATGGAATATGACACTACCTTGAAGAACAACAATGAAGCGGCAAGCCATCACATAACATGGATGGATGAACCTTGAGGACATTACGCTGAGTGAAATTAGTTAGTCACTAAAGGAGAAATACTGCATAGGACCATTACTGTAAATGATTAAGTAAAACAGCCCACACTAAAAGGAAGGGAGGAATATATATATATATATATATATATATATATATATATTGATCACCGGGATGTATGGGATTTAGGGGAGGGGAGGGAAAGAGGGAGGGGATTACAGAGCACAGGGTAGGGGACACAAGATAGCTTGGGTGCTGGGGTGGAGGAGGACAATACACAAGAAGGAGGATGGGAATGGAAGAACAAGGTGGATGGGAGAATAGTTAGGCAGGTTTGCATGGGTTAAGTGGGACAGAGGTAAATAATGATTTATGGACAACCTTGGAACAACAGGGCTCTGGGATCCAAGGATTGAGGCATAGTTTGAATGGGTAAAAGAGGGGAATAATGTTAAGATGCTTGGCTGTCTTTTGAATCTTGGTTTCCCTTGCCTACCGTTGTAAAATAGACACTTGAGGGCGAGAGAGGGGAGAGAAAGGAATAGCCAGAAACATCACAATAGAAAGCTTGTAAGTTCGTCTTCAGCCTGTAACTGATTAGAATACCTTAAAGGGGGCTAGAAGTTGCCCAGTGAAGGAGGCTTCCTGTGAAGCCTTTGCATTGCATAAGACCATAGGTGGAATCTTGATCCCCATCCAGAATCTTCTGAAGGTGGGAATTTCCACTTGAAAGGACAAGCAGACCAGCCTGGAGCTGCTAGAAGAACAGAAGATACTTCTTGAAAGAAAGACCGGCAGGAAAAATAAAAACGATAGTCTAATTGACTACTACAATAACAAGCAAGCTGTCCGCCCAGGAGCCATCAAGGCAAGAGGTCAGGTCCCCTCAGAGCAAACCCCCTTCCAAGACTAAGACTCAAGGGTAATGCAAGAGCAGGCATGTGGTCTGGCTGGTGGCCACGCTGATCACCGATAAGGAGAAGAGGGGGAAAAACAGCAAAGAAGTTGGGAGCTAAGTCCTACCACATTCAACAGATTCCTGTGAATCTGGGAGGAGACCTGGTTGGCCAGCAATATGGTAAGACTCAGGGATTCCTGGGCCCAGAGTCAGTGACATAGCCACAGAATGAAACGTCCAGCTGATATGAAGTAGGGGGTAGATGCACAAGAACACCCATACTTGCAGATAGTACCCACTTGACCTGGCTTCAATGGCTGGATGATCACAACGCCACTAGAAGACATAGAGAGAAAAAAAACCAATAACCTGCTTACAATTTGATGAACTTTACCTATACTTATGGCTGTAGTAGCTCAAAACAGGGAACAAATCTTTACAGCAAGGATCACTCGCACCCCCGTGGTACACAGAGTTGACAGGGAGGGGCAACTTAGACATTGGCTACCCAAAATGGGAGGGCTACAACGGCAAAAAGTGACTGGCTTACAAGCTTTCAAGATGGAGCCTAGCTCCAGATGGGGCGGAGGAAGATAGAATCTCCACTGAATGGTTTCCAATCTGTTGAGATGGGGTTAATGAAAGGAGATAGGGACGAGAGTCTTGTGGTGCAATAGTGAACAACTGCTATCAGGACTGACTGTGAGGATGGGAAATGTAAAAGTTTTGTAACAAAAGGAGGGGAGTGATTGATTTTGCAGTCCAGGAGTGGAGATCCCTGGGACCATCAAGTGAGAACAGCCTGGTGCAGGACCCTACCCAGAGAAGCAGTGATGCGAGAAATGGAGGCAGACACGATGACATGGACAGATGAAGTGGCTGGGGACACTGGACTCAGGGAGGGAGAAGGGCTGTGAGCTGATGGCCGGGGAGCAAGCCTGTGGGGTGTACCCTTTGGTGTTGATGATGCATGGAGGGGATTGTAATAGTTGCAATGAAACCAAATACAACAGGATGAATGTAAAACTGATGTTCTCCAAATAAACCCACATATTTCACAGTAAAAACTTAAAAAAAAGAGTATAATCTACTTTAATCTAGTTGGCAATCCTTTAAAAATAGGGTAAAATTATATGCCTTGATTGCTAGTTAGATAGTCTATTCTTTAATAGTGCCATGAGTTTGTGTTCATTTAAACTGTGTTGTGTAAGAAGCAATAAGAAAGCAACATAAACATTTAGCTGCTGCCTATGCCCAGTCCCAATAGTCAAAAGCACACTTTTTCTGTTACAGCATAAACAAATACCCTACTCTTGATACCAATTTCTATTTTAGTTATCCTTTGCTGTATAAAGCCACTCAAAATGTAATAGGTTAAAACAATGACAATTTACTTTTTCCTGTAATTCTGAGGTTTGACCAGGCAATTTCTCTGCTTCGTGTAGCATCAAATGGAGCACAGGATCAGCTGATAGGTTCAAATGGTTTTACTTAAAGGGCTACAATTGGTGCAGTCAGACCTTCAGTTCAGAACTCAGGGCTGTTGGCGAGGAGGGTCTCATTTTTGCATCCATATGGATCCCTCCAAGTGGCTACTTGGGCTTCTTCAAAGCATGATGGTATACCATGAAAGAACAGTCAAGATAAACAAATGTTTATCAAGACTCTACTTCTATGATGCTTGCCAATGTCCAATCAGCCAGAGCTGATCACATTGCCAAGCACCGAGTCACTCTGAGGGACGAAATAAAACAAATTGTATTTACACAAACAATCCAGGAAGCCTGGTTCCTTGAGAGCCACCAAAGCAGCCTGCTGTTCAGTGCCATGGAGTTGTTTCCAACTCACAGTGACCCTGTATAGGGTTTTTCAGGAGCAGCTGGTGGGTTTGAACTGCAGACTTTTTTAGTTTGCAGTCTTGCGCTGATCCTACAGCACTACACCAGGAGTTCTACCACAAGTACATAGTATGATAGTCTTGTTGTTAGCTGTCATCAAGTCAGCTCCAACTACCAGAACAAAACACTACTTCAGATCCTACACCATCCTCACAATCACTGCTGTGTTTGAGCCGCAAAACTATAGCCACCTACGTCAATCCATTTTTTGATGGTCTTCTTTTGCATTATATTCCTCTACCAAGCATTATATCCTTTTCCAGGGACTGGTCTGTCTCTCCTGATAACATCCCCAAAGTATAAGAGACGAAGTCTTGTTATCTATTTTGCTTCTAAGCAGACTCTGACTATACTTTCCCCAGGATAGACTTGTTTGTTCTTCAAGTCCATGGTATAGTCAGTATTCTACACCAACCATCATTCAAATTCATCAATTCTTCTTCAGTCTTCCTTAATTCATTGCCCAGATTTTCTTGCATATTGTTGTTGTCAAGTGCCGTTGAGTCAATTCCAACCCATAGCAACCCTGTATAGGGTTTCCAAGGAGCAACTGGTGAGCTTGAACCACTGACCTTGCAGTTCAAATGGATTTGCAGTCTGGCGCATTAACTCACAGCGCCACACCAGGATTCCTTCATGCATACAGGCAACTGAAAATACCATGGCTCAGCTCAATCACACCTTAATTCTCAAAGTGACACCTTTGCTTTTCAATATTCTAAAAAGGCCTTTTGCAGCATTTGATTTCAATATTCTAAAAAGGCCTTTTGCATCATTTGATTTCTGAACTTTTGAGCAATTCACAGGCATTGATTATGGATCCAAGTAAAACGAAATCTTTGACAATTCCAATCTTTTCTCTAATTATAATTATATCATATATTGGTTATGTTGTGAGGACTTTCTCTTTCTATATGTTGTGGTGTAATCTATACTGATCTTTGATCTTCATCAATAAATGCTTTTAAGTTCTCTTCACATTCAGCAAGCAAGGTTGTGTTACCTGCATTTTACAGGTTCTTGATCACTCTCCAAACCAGGCTTTTCTTCACATAGTTCAGTTTTTCCAATTTTTTGTTTACCATACAGCCCTGATACACACCTTTCTTAATTTTAAACCCTTCCATATCCCCTTGTTCTGTTCAAACTACTATCTCTTTTGGCCTATGTACAGGTTCTGCACACATACAACTGTGTTCAGGAATCCTCATTCTTCACAGTGTTGTTCATAATTTGTTATGATACACATAGTCGAATGCCTTTACAGAGCCAATACAACACAAGTAAACATCTTTCTGGTATTTTCTGCTTTCAGTCAACATCTGTCTGACATCAGCTATGATAGAGTCATTCCCTGCCCTCTTCTGAATCTGGCTTCAATTTCTGGTAGTTCCCTTTCAATTTACAGCTGCAACTGCTTTCTGAATAATCATCAATAAAATTTTACTTGTGTATTATATTAATACTATTATTTGGCATTTCCATAGTCTGTTGAGCCACCTTTCTTTACAATAGGCATAAATAAGGATCTCTTTCAGTTGGTTGACCAGGTAGCTGATTTCCAAATGCCTTGACATAGATGAGTGGGCAAGCCACTGCTGCATCCATTCATTGAAACATCTCAATTGGTATTCTGCCAATGCCTGCAGCCTTGATTTTTACCAATGTGGTCAGTGCTACTTGTACTTCTTCCTTCAATACTGTCTGTTCTTGATGATATGCTATCTCCTAAAATGGTTAAATTTCAACCAATTCTTTTTGATACTGTGACTCTATGTATTCCTTCTATCTTCTTTTGATGCTTAAGTCGTGCAATATTTTGCCAGTAGAATTCTTCAACATTGAAACTCGAGACTTGAATTTTTTCTTCAATTATTTCAAATTGAGAAGTGCTGGGCATGTTTTTTTGTCCTCTTTTGGTTTTCTAACTCCAAGTTTTTACATATTTTATTATAATACTTTAATTTGTCTTCTCAAGTTACCCTTTGAAATCTTCTGTTCAGATTTTTTAATTCATCATGTCTTCCTTTCGCTTTAGCTATTCTATATTCAAAAGCAAGCTTCAGAGACTCCTCTGATATTCATTTTGGTGTTTTCTTTTCTTTCTTTCCTGTGTTTTTAACAACTTACTGCTTTTTTCACATATACCATCTCAGAACTCATTCAATCTTCAGTCATTAATGCTCAGTGTATGTAATCTATTGTTAAGATAATCTGTAAAGTCAGATGGACTATACCTAAGGTTCTACTTTGGCTCATGTTATTGTTGCTGTTACGTGTTGTCATAGACTTGCTATAATTTTCTTCAGTGTCATCTTGAACTTGCATGTGAACAATTAATGGAATCTTCCATATTCTGTTACTGGCCCATTCTGACTGGTAATATTGAATTTCTCCCTCATCTCTTTCCACAGACAACAATTATTTGATTATTTGATTCCTGTGCATTCTGTCTCACAAGGTCCCTGTATATCGTCACCATTTATGTTGTGGAAAAAAAGGAATTTCCAATGAATAAGTTGACCTTCTTGGGAAATTTTATCATTTGATCTTTGGCATTGTTTCTATCACCAAGGCCTTGCTTTCCAACTACCGATGCTTCTTTGTTTCCAACTTTCACATTTCAATTATTAATGCATCTTGATGGACTATTTCATCAATTTGAGACTGCAGAAGTTGATAAAAATCTTCAATTTCTCCATCTTTAGTATTAGAATAACATTGTTATTGTTAAGTGCAATCAAGTCAGTTCCAACTCATCATGACCCTGTATAGGGTTTCCAAGGAGTGGCTAGTGAGTTTGAAATATCAATCTTTTGTTTTAAACCAACCTTGTGGTCAAGCGCTTACTCGACAGCACCACACCAAGACTCCTTAGGACGGTACTACTGATATAAATATTTTAAACACAACACTAATCTATGATGATGAAAGAATATTTTTGGAGTAGGAAGAAAACTAGAAGGAGAAATCAGAGCCTTCTGAGGTGTTCATAATATTATATTTCTTGATATGTACAGTATTCAGAGGGATGCTTATATATTTTTTAATATATAGAGCTGAATAGTTTTGATTTGTAAATGTTTCAGAAAAATAAAACTGTCTTTATGTTGAGATGACCTGATTCTTTTTGTCTTTTCAAAATATAACAAACACACTGGTGTTTATGTATTTATAATTTTTTCAAAAGCAGCAATATTCAGTAGAAACCATCAAGTTTTTAATTAGCAGCAATTATCTATAACCACAAAACAAGTCCACACTAATACCTTATTATTATATCCCCAAAGCCTATTACAATTAGCTGAATGAATACTCAAGGACAATACAGTCTGCATGGCTTGCTGTGACTATGAAATTAAAGTTTTACAGCATTACACATGAATTTCTGTTCTTGCTGAAACTTCCAATTGTTACGGAAAACATGAAACTTGACTTCTCAATTTTGGCCATGTTTTCTTTTGATAGACATTTCTTTCCAATGTTTGAATGGTTTTTCTTTCACTCTTATGATACAATTAAACTGATAAGATGGAGTCCTGGTGTGGCACTGTAGGATAAGCACTGGACTGGCTAACAGAAGGTCAAGAGTTCAAAGCTACCAGCTGTTCCTAGGAAAACTCTATACAGGGTCGCTATGAGTTGGAACTGACTGGTTGGACACTTAACAACAGCAACAGCAACCCAATAGTATATTAATTCTTCCTATAATCTTCCATGTTACTATCATTCAAAAAGGCAATAAAACAGATACTGTACATTGTCGTTGTTGTGAAGTGCCATTGAGTCGGTTCTAACCCATAGCGACCCTGTATAGAGTTTCCAAGGAGTAGCTGGTGAGCTTGAACTGCCAACCCAGCAGTTCAAATGGCTTTGCAGTCTGGCGCACAAACCCACAGCGCCACACCAGTACTCTGATACTGTACATATGCTAATATAATTCCAGGTAAATTAATATATAATCAAAACTACTGTATTGGTTTATTTGTTCAAACATAACATTTTAAGTCATCAGTGAATAAATAGTGTGCGATCACTGCAATAGTCACAATGAATTTCATTTTCAATGAAAACCAACCGTACTCTATACAATACTGCACGGAGTCCTGGTGTGGCACTGTGGGTTAATGAGCTGGAATGCAAAGTCGTTTGAACTGCAAGGTCAGTGGTTCAAGTTCACCAGCTACTCCTCAGAAACCCTATACAGGGTTGCTATGGGTCGGAACCGACTCGACGGCAAGTAAATAACAACATACAATATGCATATACTTTATAATGTTCTAAGATTACAGAGAGAATCTTAAGTCATGACAAATAGATTATTTTAAATCATGATAAAGAGTCCTGGTGTGGTATTGTAGGTTAAGCACTAGACTACAAGGTCGGTTTAAACCACAGCTCAAACTAACCAGCTATTCCTCAGAAGTCCTTATGGAAGGTCGCAATGAGTTGGAACTGACTTGACAGCAATTAACAACAACAAGTAGATTATTAGTAATACAGACTGCAGATAACTTTTATTTAAAAAATAACTTTGCCCCTGCCAACACTGGTCAGTTTAGTTCTAGCAGGGGATATATATGAAAGCGATACAGGCATAGGGTTCCTAGAAAAATGAAAAGATAACGGAATTTTTCCATAAACTCTTTTGAAGCCCCTTCAAACACAAACACACACACATATCCCTACACAAATCTACACATTTATGTATGTATTCATAAAGTATAAGGAACTAATATTACAACTTTAAGTATATTCAAACATCAGGTCAGTAGCATCTGACCTATGTCCTTTAAATAGGGAAAGAAAAATAGTTTGAAACCATGGCATCATCTTCACTTAACATACTTCAGGACCCTTGGAAAGTCACACTACTACTTTAAATGCTTACCAGTTCTTCAGAGGTCAAATGCATCAAACGTTCAGCTATTGCAGCACAGTGGGCTGAGTCCCTTATGAATTCCCCTTGTTTATCTCCAACTATCAGCTCTGGCCATGTCAGGCCTTCACTCTTCTTCATCAAAGAAATATCCAAGCTAGAAGTTTAAATGGAAAGAGTGATGTTACATTAAGCAACTATGCAAATTATACATTTGGTAAGGTATTAAAAACATCTTCCATAGCAAACCCCTCTGTTATGTAAAGGATGTTTTACTAAAAATCTTATTTCAGCTTCACATGAAAACCTTTGAAAGTCTTTAATCTAGGGTTAAATAATGTATAGTTAATAAATAAACAATAAGTACCTCTAGAAATCCCTCAAAAGATCATTATAAATACAGTTTCTGAAAAACCTTTCGATATGAATGCAAAAGATGATTTAAAGAGGATAATGATGGAAGGAAGCGAAACCGCCCAGGAAAGTTAACTGCGTGATCCACATGTGAACTAAAGTGATATGGAAATACCAGAAGCATAGATCTATGAGACATTTTAGGGGAGTGGGGCAAGGAAAGGGGTCATGTAAAGTTAATTGCAATGGATCTGTAGCTAAAGTACCTTGTGTAGAGAGGCAACAATTAACTTCATTTTCACAAACTAGTAGTCATAATATTTGAACATTAGTATAAAAAATTAAATAGGTTAAAGCAATACAAATATTATGTTTTAAAAGACACATTTTAAAGAACAAAAAAAAGATATTAAATGTGGTTGGTCGCTAATAAATTATTTAAAATCGAAAGCTGTATAATTAAGCTGCTAAACACAAATTCCAAAGGCACTAAAAAGAGCCTGTCAAAGAACTGACATCAAGGACTAATGCATCCTGAGCCCCATCCAGAATCTTCTGAGGTGGGACATTCCCACTAGAAAGGACAAGCAGACCAGCCTGGAACCGCTAAAGCAACAGAAGATACAGCTTCAAAGAAAGATCATCAGGAAAAAAACAAAACAAAAATGTCAGTATGACTGGATACTGCAAGAACAAGCAAGTTGTTCACCGGGAAGCCATCAAGGCAAGCAATTGAGTTTCTTCAGGACAAACCCCCCACTAAGATGGAAACTCAAAGGGAACACACAAACAGCTATGTAAGCTTTCTGGTGCCCATGTTGATCTACTGGTGAGTGGAAGACGGGGAAAGGCAGTAATGAAGAAATGGGCTGAGTTCAACCACGTTCCACAAACTCCCATTGATCTGGAGATGAGAGAGAGAAGAGGTTGGTCCAAAGTGTGGTAAGACCTGGGGACACCTGAGCCCATGGACAAGGACATAGCCATGGAGGGCTAGAGCTGAGAATGAGGCATCCAGCTCATACGAAGTGAGAGGAGGCGCACAAGAACACCCAAAGGTGCAGATAGTACCCATTTGACTTAGCCTCGATGGCTTGATAATCAGAACTCGACTAGAGGAAGATAAATAAATAAAAAAAGAACAAAACAATTTTTGATAAAGGAAATGAGGGTAAATTGCTATAATATGATGAACCTGGCCTATACTCATGGCGGTAGTAACTCTAAATACCAACAGAGAGGGAAGGAGTCTTCACATCAAGTATCAATGCTATCCACTCTATACACAGGGTAGATAGGGATGGGCAACTTAGACATTGGCTACCTAAAAAGGGGATGATAAGGCACAAAGTGACTGGCTTACAAGGTTTCAAGGGGGAGTTTAGTTTGCTAGTGTGTTGGGGAAGAAAAAGGCCCCACTGCTTAGTTTTCATCTTGTCTAGATGGGTCTCATTAAAA